GTGTCAAGCGTCCTCACCGGTACTTCAATATTGTCAGCATGGATAGGCGTTCACGCCTATGGAGATGGAGCACCTTTGAAGATGGAGCGAGTCAACAAACACCGATGAAAACCAATATTTTCCTGAGTTCCTGACAAAAAAACACTTCGTATCGCAACTGCTACTGCAGCGAAAACAAGGTTTTGTTCTGCCTGAACACACAACACACTTATTTTCTACCCTTCTCAACCATATTTCCACGGAGAATTGTCTAAGAAATGTTATGATGTGTGATGTAGTACTGTAATATGGTATGTTTGCTGAAATATTTAATCTGCAACATACAATCATTTTCAACGTTCCATATCAAGTGCTTTCTATGACACTGCAGTTGTGCTGTAGTAGAACGTAAGTCAGGTATTCATTAAAGTCCACTGTGGGTTTAATGCATTGTGCTCTATACCATAAGAGGATAGACAATATATTTGCTAATATTACACGCCATTAATTATCTATATACAGTAAATATTCGATATATTCTATCCAGGATTAAACCCGTGTCCAGAACACGTTCCTTCGGAGTGGGCAGGTAGGAACTTGGTTCAACCAATCCGGGAGCGTACATATTTGGGAGGGGCGCACCTCTGGTTGGCTGATGGCTCGCGGTCACGTGACGCACTTCAACCAATCCGAGAGCGTACATGTTTGGGAGGGGCTATGCACGACAGACAGACAAATACTCCCTGGTGGGCAGTGTGGAACTGTTGTTCCTACCTGTATAACTTACCTGTAGATGGTGAACAGACGCATTGGAAAGGCAACCAACTGACTGACCAAACCCGTCCCGGATAACATAGAACTCACGTGCATGTGTTTTGAGCACATTATGGTAGAGTGGTGAAACGTGGACCACATATGGGAGACACACAAGGCTAAACAGCTTCCATATCTTCTGTCTTAACTGTATCCTAGTTTTCCAGTGGGAAGACAAAGTTCATGACACTGAAGTGTTTTAAATAGAGCTGGGTTGCTAACTCTAATCACAATGATTAAACATGTGTCTTTGTTGGCTTGGCCATCTTCACCAAAAGGGATGCATTCCAAAGATTCTATTGTATGGAGAACTTGCAAATACTCTGAGGCCACTTGGTCAGGCCAAGCTCCGTTTTAAGGATATCTGCAAGGAGGACTTGAAATGTTTAACAAGTGGGATTGATACAGCCAACGACAGGCCACAGTAGAGGGCTGCACTAAGCCAGGGAGCCTAAGAGGCTGAACAAACTTGGTTTGAGAGAGAGTGAACCACAATATCTTGCTGATATGAAAGAGCATACACCATTATGCAAACTCCGGTCATCCCTCGCAACATTTTTTGACTCGTCATCGAAAACAACCAACCTAAGAAGCACGCGATGCAGTGGCCGTCTGTAACGCTCTTCTGATATTAGAAAGCCACTGGAGCTATGCACTTTTAAATCTAGATTGAAAATGAGTTTCTTTAGAACTGCTTCATGTGTTAGTATGTTGTCCCTCCCCCGCACCTCCGATTAGCACGGTTGGCTACGTACAGTGCGAAATACGTTCTACATATATACATACAAATGTGCAACCGGACTCAGCTCCTGCCTTCATGTCGGCCTGGTCCTCCGGACATGTGCATTACACCAGCACTGATTGTGATAAGGACTCTCATTTCAGAATCGGAATTTTTAGCCACTCGCGACTGGAATACGACATGGCAACCAAACTTCTCTGGCGCTTACAGCATCATCTTTGTGATGGATGGACATCAACACTCCACACCCAAAGCGAATATCTGCGTTTAGCCTTTATAAGTGCCTTTAAGTACCCATTCGAGGCTACATGGCATGGGAGGTGGTATTTGGGCTATTATCATGCCCAACCAAATATGTATCCCTTTGCATGAAGTATTCATTTAAGGCCGAGTTGACCAATGAGAGGTCATAGCTAAAACTCAAGAGCCTATGTACTAATGTAATTAGCTAGGAATTGAACCCAGGTTGCTGTGATCATTTTGCAATTTTCAAACCATTAACATTCAGTGCACAGAAACATGCATATTCATGTGTCCGTTAATCTCCTACAATCTTTATCAGACAAGCATTGGTTTTCAGAAACCTCTCATCGAGTGCATCGACCAAAATGGTAGTTATTCTTGGCATATAATGAAGGAACATTGTCTGATGAGCCTGAACACATAAGTATTCCATTTACTATTGAAATACGCCAACAATTAAGGCCCGTTTAACTGCCAAACCAATACAATGTGAATAAAGGATTACTGATTTAAAAACATTTTTTAAACAAAATATGCAATTAAGTATTTTTCTGAAAAATTATGTGTCCCATAAATTGGAACCATGACATTAAGACTGGATATGGCCTCATTATTTGACTTCTTGGTGCAATGCTACTTGCATAAATGCATATTTCTTTTGATTATGAAAAAAAAGCAAGCCTCTTTGCATAATCAGAGACGCTTTTACATATTAACGATATGAAATTACGTAAAATTGACAAAACCCATTCACTCATCAAGCTGTAATTACAGCATCGACATACAGGACATTGTGTTTTTTTTACAAGCTGTAATTTGGCAGGTAGCAGGTTCGTTCATACGAATAACATTTTCTATGATTACTTTCAAGGAGCCTTAACATCGCGGCATAATACATTCCATTTGAAGGGGCCTTGTTCAAATAACATATTGCAAATTATTTATTGTTTAATTATTTGAACTGTACACTAAGTTGTCCCGTGTTTGTACGAGCTGTGTGCAACACTGGGAGTGTGTCGTTAAACGGATCTTGACCGAGACTGCATTTACTTGAAGTCTTATTTAGGCACTGGACTGTATTACCTCACTCGAAAGGTGCACATGGATTGATTAGACAATAAAATCCCTTTGCAGGTAATCGCCTGAGCACATAATGTGTATGATCGTTTGCCATCGCGTATGCTGGATTGACAGATCTATTGTGATTGAAAACAAAGTATTGTAATTGGCAAAGCTAGTTTTTGTTCAGCTGTTTGACCGAATACCTAGGAGGTAAAATCATAAGCAATTTCTGTTGTGTAATTTTATCGTCACCAGTTGTGATAAACGTGCTATACTTACACGTGGACGTAAAGCCGCGAGCTAACTTTCACCCGAAGCAATCATGCAAATCGCTTCCTCTGACATTGGACAACAATCATGTTTCCAAACATTTCACAATGTTTAAGCTTCATATTATTGCTTACGCAAGCTCTATCTGCTACATCGGTTTATGTACACATTCAAGTAAGTTAAATGTTTTCTTAACATTTGTACAAACATTATCTGTATACAACTTTTATTATATGGAAGTCGAAGGTGAAATTATAGAGTTGTTTGCTGCTGCACTAGGACATTCCAGTACATGTTTTTGTTTCTACATTTATTAATTTCTTGCTGTTCATGTTATCATTATTAATCATGGATAGCCAAGGTCAACAGAACCACCTTCAGTTGTAGAAAAATAGCATTTTAATTAAACCGATTTAAATATAAAGTTTGCTAAATGTGTTTTTGTTACAATGTCCAAATGTTCACCTCTTTTGTTGTCGACCATTTGGGGAGCTACTTCACGAGGCATAGTGGAGTATAACTTGAGAGCAACATGCATTTTAAAAACTAGAATCAAAGGGCCTAAACCCCAATTAAGTTGCACATATAAGTTGCCTAAGAAAACAATGAAGACAAATAATATATAGAATAATTTTGGCGACGTAATAACCAAGCCACTACTGTGTATCAATATTTGTGTGATAAAATGTGTCCTTTCAAGATGAATAAACAAGTGACATTTATTGCTCTGCAATAGAACCCCATTAGTGGCCGCTTCAGACATAATACGCAAGTGAATTATATGAAGAAACCCATCTTTGATTAAATATTTGATGTATGATCTGATCTTACAAAAGAAGAAGAAAAAACTGTTTAAACTAGCCGACCAAATATAGAAACTTTTTTTTCCAAAGAAAAGTCTATAATTAGAGTTATTCAACAGACTATGATTTTTTTTTTACCTGCAGTGTGCTTGTAAAATACGGCAACGCAAAAATTCTGTTGCCAACAAAGAATAAGATTTTTATTTTATTCCCCCCCCCCATGCTTTCACTTCATATAGCATGTTTCAAATGTTTGGTTTTTAAAAAATAAATTCAATATTTATGGGAAATTGCTTTCTGCCTGCTTCATCCTCTGGGAGCCATGCCAAGAAGGTACGCTGCATCGCCACTGTTCCCGCAAAACCGGTGACAAGCATAGACCTGGGCCTCCTCACAATTCTCATGCGAATGGTGAGCGAGCACAGAAGAAGATGCACAAATTCCACATGTCTGTGAACATATTAGCAAGCATTATCAAACATTTAAAATCATGGACCCCATTTGGCACAGATATAGATGTTCCGAGATAACATTTAATGCATTTTATTTCAGCTATAGTAGTCCATAACTCAAAGTATACACAATGTCTATCTCTATATAGCACATACTATGTGCACATTTTTTTCAAACAAAAAAATATAAATTTGTTTGAGGACATAATACAAAATTAAGTACACGATTCAAATTTTAGAATTTATTGAAGCCCCACCTTTGAAACCCCTATATTGCCAATTCTGTTTAAAAATAATTAACATTTAAATTAATAAAGTAAATAAAGGCATGATTAGAGGAAAAAAACCTATTATGATAATTATAAAATAGAACTACTTTAATTGCAAGTGTTTCTACAAAAGATGTCATTATCTGTAATGAGTTCCTGTTGAGTGACATGTCTTGCTCAAAGATATCCCCCGGCCTGTCAAACCGAGCAGTATAAATGGTTATTTTTATTTTCTACCCACGTGACTTTACCGAAAGAACCAAGAATATGGTTGCCACCACACTTAGTCAGCCGGCAGGTCACGTGTGGTGGGATAAAGCCTGGCGACACCCACCCCTTCCCCTTTATTAATGTTCTTCCCCTCCCCCTTAAATACACTGCTCTCGACGTAATACAAAAAATGGCATCTGGGTTTCCCATCCTACCGCGTCGAGCTTGTTACAAGTGTAGTGACATGGAATGGATCACGACGTAGCATAGCGCGGGTTGCTGGCAGAGAAGGGGATCTGCAGTTGCAGCAGCCTTGTCTGTCAGCAGGTCACGTGATAAGCCAGAGAGAGGGATGTAGGGCAAAGGTGAGAGAGGGGTCACGTGAGGGAAGCCCGGGAACCCACGAGTAGGTTCTAGAAGGGGGGCGTGGCCGGGGCCACGCTGGGAGGATAAAAGAGGACCCCGAGCGAAGGCTCGGGGCTGTTACTTGGAGTGGAATCCGTCGGGCTGCTGGAGTCTTCATCACCGTCTTCAGCTTCTCGGCGTTGTCAGCCTGATAGTCTGTTAGCTGTCCTGACTGAAAGTGTTGTTACCCTTGTACCCTGTGAAGGCGATAATAAATAGAGTGCCTCCTACTCCTAGTGTCTCTGACTGCGTCACTACACAAGTTATCTGTGGGTCTTTTCCCTCTTCTTGAAATCCACATTATATTCTTGGTTCTTTAACATTCAACAATGCGAATTCAACCCCGATGAAGCTTGGGGAGCTGAATGGAGTTCAAAAGACCTCGGAATCAAACACCTCGTGAAAAAGACCCAACGCAGAATATCCCTGGGTTTGATATTCCACAAAGCTCTCGGTCCACCCTAAACTGCATCCACACAAACCATGGCAGGAGATGCGGATACCTGATCCACACATGGAAAACTAAAAACTCTTCAGTGTATGACTGTGGTCATCCAGAACAGACTATGTATACAACATATAACTATGTAATGCCCGATCCACAAACATGAAGGAGACATCACAGTGATGCACTCCTCTGCTCCTGACGCAGTTATCTGGCTTGACCATCTGAATGTACGGTGCTCTGAATCTACAATCAGCAATACAAAAGAAGAAGAATGACAATAAATACATATGTAAAAAAAAACCGTGGATAAACCGAGCTTTTCTGGACACATCTGGGTCAGCGTGGGAGAGTCAGACAAAATACCCTCTAGAGTGGATGTCTCCCAGTGGAGGCCCTTCCACCAGTAAGTGGCTTGAGCAATAAATCACACATTTGCCTTTTAACGCCTTTGCTTGTGAACACATTACATGTAGATTATTCACGAGTTTGTACATTTACACTGCCTCATGTACACGCATACCATGATATAAGTAATTTAATGAATGCCTCTTCACAAAACAGCAATGATAACCATGCTTGACTAGACTCAGGCTTTACTTGTCCTTAATCTTTTTCATCCTTCTGGAAAAATAGTAGTGAAAGTTATGTTTTGGATGTAAAGATCTGTGCTCATTCGTACGTATTTTGGGCTGAGTAAATAGAAACAGCATTTTGCCCAGAACCTTATTTCCCTGGCGTAAAAGGAAAGACATAGTAGACGCATGGGGTTTAATGAGACTGCATGGCTGAGCCCTACACTTTTTTTGGCTCAAAGCAGCATTATGACCACGATTCCCATGCCGCTACCAATGACCGGCAATCATTTACATCAATATTTGAACACGAAAGCCATGACATAGAACACTCCAACTAATGTGCGTTATACATCCCCCATTTCAGGCTGCAATGTGACTCACTCCTAACCCGATTTTCTCTTTGTTACTCTTGTTGCAATAGACCAATTAGAGAAAACACTGGCTACGCATTGGCGACTGGAGCGTGCATATGAACACTGTTTTCAATATCCTGACATATCGCATCTTGATAAGCAATTAAGAGTCATTATGTCTTATACCGTTTAATTTAGGAAGGCAATTTGATTAAGAATACAGAAGCATGAGCACTGCCACGTCAACAAATCAAATGCACAATTTCAGATGTTGCGTTTATTGTTTGACAGCTATACAGTGTGCATGTAGTTTAACATGGCCACAGAAGGCAACAAATAAATACCTATTATAAATGTTTCCACGGATCTATGTGTGGTTACAATATTTTTACGTGTTTGTACAATTTTCAAACTTACACACTGGTTGATAACAACAAAGTGTTACTGATGGCCGAGCCGACTTTTTTCTTTAAAGCGTGCCAATTAAATGAGTTATGAATTGCGCAGATCACGCATTCGTCTTGTGCACACATTAAAAGCTACACAGTCGTTTCAATCACATCAACAACCTCTGATATGCCTCTCAGCCTATTGGCTCGCAATTGTGGCATTTCACCACCAAGTCCCACACCACTTGCTCGAGTCTGCAGACTGCAGGTATCATCATCATCATCATTTGCATCGCCGCCGCCACCACCATCATCTTCATCTCCTTCTCCCTCGGTCTCCTCCTCGGCGTCGCTGCGTTTTTCCTCGGCAGAGTCCGGAGACGCTGGCATTCCAGAGTCAGCCGACTCGCCCGCACTACCGCTACCAGAGCACGGAGACGAACAAGGGCTGACGATCAGCGACGCAAGGGGCTGCTGCTGCTGCTGACGCCAGCCTCTACCACAGATAGGAGTACTGTCCGCAAAGCCACCATCCAACACCATATAGGCACTGGTGCAACGTGGGGAGAGCAGCAAGTGCTGCACATAGCACAGCGTACCGTTCACGCGCCTGATCTTGAAGCCCTCACTTAAAATCGCCTGCTTGGTGCCAGCAGCAGCAGCAGCACCACCGGCCGCTGCTCTAGAAGCGTCGACACCACCACCACCCTCCACCGTGGCCCGAGCACCGCAAGGAGATCTCGAAGGGGAGATGAGCAGCGAGCAGGCGGGGGTTCGTCCAGGCGTGATGCCACCCGGCACCACGGTGCTGGGTAGCTGCTCCACGGGAGTCATGCGCTGGTACACGTACTTGCCTGCAGGTCACGCGCAAGAGGGGACCGTGACACGTGTGTGTGGGGGGGGATAATGGGGTTGGTGCCACAGAATCGATACGAGGATTAATGACCTGCAAATGTAAAGTGCTCCAGGGCCATTTGGTCACGGAAAGCCGTGGTGTTTTGTCCGCTATCAGATGCCACTCCTGTTTGCTCCGGAATATAGTTCGTTGTCGGCGAAGTCGGTGTGTTTCTGCAAGATGATGTGTCACTGCTTTATTGTGTTTAATACCAGTGGCAGGAAACATACCTACACATTTAAAGAGAACAAACTGCTCGTTGATTGCCTCACATCGTTGGCACGACGAAGGCGATGATAGTGAATGCAATGTTTGACGTAGAATTGTTTTTTCTCTTTCGCAGGATTTAAGCGGAATTCCGCTTGGCAAAATGTTATTCAGTGGAGCACGTGAACGCATCCAGAGAATGCGATATGCAACTGTGCACACTCTGTATGCAAGTTGCATGGGGAATACTTTGCTTTTCGTCAGAAAATAATAGCCACGGACAACAGTGAAATAAGATTGCACGAGTTGTTCCATAATATTAGGGTGCAAAGTGGATTGACTGACGCGTTCATACATGAGAATATTTATTTTATGCTGAAGGAATCCGATGAGCTCTAAAGCTCTTTTCCATACATGTCAAGTAGTGGCGGGTCAGATTGTCGCAACAAACAATACAGTTACAATCACTTCGGGTAACTGCAGAGGCCTACATGATAAAGGCCGTGTTCGGTCTTTTGTTGTTCATTAAATGACTCAAGCATTCAACAATTTACGTCCCATTAAATATTAACCTCATTCGCCTTTTTATTAATTGATACCGCATCGTCCAAGTGTGCTGCTCAATTAATTAGCATGTACGTCATTGCAAGCATTATCTTTCAGTTTCAGTTTAATTTATTTGGTATAGCCCTGTGAGCAATTCGGCTCTTGAATCGGGTGCAACCGCAACAAACAAAAAACAAAAACATGAACAAGAAAACATCTTAAAGTGACTAAGCGCAAACAGAAAAATCTAGGAAAAATAGCAAACAATGTAATTATTGTAAATCAGTGGGTGAACGGCTGATAATAATGAGAGTTTTGATTATATTTTAAATGCAGCCTGAGAGAGGGATGTAGGGCAAAGGTGAGAGAGGGGTCACGTGAGGGAAACCCGGGAACCCACGAGTAGGTTCTAGAAGGGGGGCGTGGCCGGGGCCACAGTTGCGATTTGCTGCCATACAGAGATTACACCGGAAAAAAAAATCCTTGATTAGTTTCAATTCAGCTGTGTGGTTCAAGCATTCCAACAAAACATGGAATGGTATTGCGACATTGCTGGTCATCCAGTATTTCACAAATCAAATCAATTTAATTGATTGGTTCTGTGGGGCGGTAGAGAGTTATCGCTAAAGATTGGAATCTTCACGATCTAACCCAAAACAAACGAATTACGAATCATAATACTGGTCAAGAAAGCCTACTTATAAATATTAACCAATGCTTCACAATCATAACAAATTAACATGTAAACTAGTTTTTAAAGGATATGCAAATTGAAAGATAAGCAGGCATACGAAACGCATCCGACTATTGATTTTTAGAAATATTATTTGCGAAAACCAATGGACAATAACTAAAAACCAATATCCTGAACCTTCAAGCATTCAAGTTTTTAAATTAAGCATCACCTTTATATTTTATTTATAATATAAGGCCACTTGCAAATGGTTTGGCTCGACAATTTTAAAATAATTAGCGCAGGCCACATTAAGCAAATGTATTATATGACCGATATAATAATTTAATGTGCTATCCACAAATGTGAAAACATTAAATATATTTTAAAAGCCATACATCGTGCTGTAACTTCGTAAATACAATGCGTACAGTGTGTTATTGTAGCCATCCAAATCTGAAGAGGAAAAATCCACCGACACTGCATTTCTCGTAGTGTGCGTGACTTTCTGGTACACGCTTTGCAAGCTGCGACTTGAAACGCACCACTTTCATGCCGTTTATATTCTATGTCAGTTATCAAAAGCTGTGCACTGTTCAGAGGAAACATGAAGCCCGCCATCTCTTCTGCTTCTTTGCGATTGTTAAAAAACAACCTCACCAGACAAATTGTGCAATAGGAAGCCATCCTCTGCCAGTGACATGGACATTCTATGGGAACCTCATTTGCCAGTAAAAATATGATAATTGGTTTTTTACCCTTCTATCTGGCAACAAAACTGACACAGTGCACATTATCAGAGTTATGTCTTTTGTTTGTATTTATGACTGCAGGTATTGCGGTCTATGCAAACATGACTCCTTGTAAAAAGGTGTCAGTTTTGTTGCCAGATAGAAGGGTAAAAAAACAATTGACATGGACATTGTTTTATCCCACCAAGAATGTATCTTGAATGTCCAAATATTCCATCAACGAGTGGACCAGGATAGGATTGCACTTTGGGTTAGTAGAGTACTTGATGAACAATTCGACAGGTGCCTTCTTTTTACTCAGCCATTCATCCATTCAGGGTTGATAAAAAAAGCACGTTCAAATTTGTGGAAAGTCAACGAGGGTTGATTTATGGATAAGACGAGAGTAGTTTTTTCTGTGAGAATGTGGGATTTTCAACAACCAGCTCCAAGCCACCAATAGATATGTGTAGCACACCTAATCACATTTCAGTTTTAACTTATTACGTTAGCAACAGACTCACAATTTACATTTGTTCATATGAAATCGTGGTCCACGTCAAATCAGCCAATAATCTATCTGGCCGGTAAAAAAAAAAACATTGCCGTCGTTAGAAACAAATTTTGCTGAGAAGTCAACCCAAGGTCTCTCTGTTCGACATGAACGAGGAGGTATGCAGTTTTCATTCTAAGCTAGGGACTAAAAAAACCGATACGAACACCATTCAATAAAAAGAATGCAAATTGTAACTCAGGAAAATCTCAACACTTACGAAGGCAGGATAGCACTGATAAACCAGATGCTTTAAGAAGTGTGGGGTCATTGTGACATTGATGATACCAGCAATGACAGACCCATAATAAACATGATACAATTGAAATAAATCAACAGTATGGTGTGACTTAGTAAGTGTGCATTAAGGTGTTTTGCAAGCCAATTTACATCAATAAACGACGTCAGCATTAAAGTACAGATGTACTCTTAGAAACGAACATTCCCTTAGAATAAAAATTGGAACATTTTACAACTGTACATACATTCTTCTTTATAAATGGGTGTTTGGCAATGACTGACAAATAAATGAATTTAATAATTTCATGAACATGGAGTGATAAAGGTAATTGGTGAATTCTCGAACAACCTGCAACCCATTTATTGCTCACCACTTTCCTTGTGATTATTTCACCTATAAAATATGGGAAAACACCACGAGCCTATTGGCAATTAGCCGACTATACTCTCTGTTCAATGGATGTAGAAAAGTCGCTGATTTAGCAGTAATAGAAATACTCAAGAGTGAATTTACAGCCCTTTGTAAACCCACTTCTGGATGGAAGCCTCCCCAAGCTGCCCCGTTGCGGTTCTGGGAAGTAACGATCCATCTCCCACTCGAACGTCAGCGGATTTCATCACTCCACCTACGCATCTGTTATCCTCCGCGGAAGCGTGGTTCACCCTCCTGTAGCTTCCACTCCATCGCTCGGTCTCGACAACCCCCGATTGCTGTTTTAGTCTTTCATTTGAGGGATTGTGTTGGTATGGTGCTGCATACTATCAGCGGTGCTCCGCAACTAAATAACCCGAAGCAAAACTGCTGTCGCGATGCCGATAGTCAAGATTTCCACAGCGTTCGGAATAGAATATTCTCCCCTCCCCGGGAATCTCAATGAATCTCGACTCTTTCCAACGGGGTCATGCTTTGGATTCTTCACACATTCCTTAACTCGACAACTGTTTTTCACGTGGAGTGCAAAAAACAAAAAAGTCATTCGCGCATCCGTTGCTTGCCACACATTTCTAAAATTAGATGTACGTGAAGAGTTGTATAGTGTGTATGCACGGGTTGTAGTGTAGGGAGTGTAAACTGTATGCCGGGTGGGAAATTACGCGCGTGTGTGGTGTGTGTAGTGCTGGGTTTAACAAACTCCAACCCACCACGCTGTCTTTCCGAGTTCACCAATTTACTTCCCTCCATTCAAAAAACACGCTGCACGCGCCCTATGGTTGTCAAACAGGTCTCACGTGACACACTTAGCTATTAATCTTATCGGTGTGACGTGTTCCACGTGCATACACACGTGGATACACACGTGGAACAAGTGTACACTCACACACTGTCTCTCAAGATCCATTGAAATCGGCTCTATTAACGCGGCGTTAATTGCTTTGCTCGTGACGTAAGGCACGTGTTTAACAATCATCGGGTGCGTGCAGCGTGGAACGAGTAAATTTGCATTTGAATGGAGAGTAATTTGGCGAACGCGAGACGCTGTAGCGTGGTGGCTCGCGAGGACTGAAGTTTGGGAAGCCCTTTATGTGTATGTTGAACTTCTTTCGCACCGTACATAGGCAACCGTGCTAATATGGTGTGCGTTTGAGTGTGACATGCAGTGCGCGTGTGGGTAGTGTCGGCACGGTGTAGGGTGCCGGGCGTGTATCGTGCAGTGTGTGTAGCGCACGCGTGGAGACTGGACGTGGTGCGGTTGGCTACGTACGGTGCGAAAAAAATGCATCACATAAATACAAGTAGCGCGCGTGCATTGTGTACGCACGGTGGTGCGGTGTGTATGTAGCGTGTGTGTAGTGTGTGTGTGTAGTGTGTGTGTAGTGTGTGTGTGTGCAGTGAAGTGCACGTTGATCGTGTAGTGCAGTGCGCGCGTGTGTGTGTGCGTGGCACCCCGGGTGCGCGCGTGGGACTCACAGTGGCACCACCCCATGTGGCAGCTCCAGTGCAGCTTGCAGCACTTGCCGTGCGTGTGGATGGCGCACGTGGCGTAGCCCCGGTCGCACTGCTGGAAGCCGGGACCCCCCGCGCAGCTGCGGGCGAGCGCTTGCGCCTGGTCCACCTTGTCCGGCCGAGGGACCCCGCCGTGTCCAAAGGCCGTCATCCCCAACCCTCGTGAACGACTCTCTCACAAGCCCCGGGACTGGAGGGGGAAGCGGGTGGTGTGGTGGAAGAGGAGGAGGATGGGGGTGGGTGTGTGTGCATAGGTGTGTGTGTCCTCCTCTTTGAGCAATAAGAATATGTATGTATACTGGAGGAATCCGCCGAATGGGCTGTAAAAGCTCGATGTCCAGGGATGTCCAAGTCGCTCCTCCACCACCACCACCACGCGCCGGCGAGTGCGAGCACTCAGCGGTGTTGCGACAGGAGCAGTCTGTGTGACTTGTTCCCTCGCCCCACCACCACCGCCGGCGCCGGCGGCATCTCCGTCTGTTTATTTATTCATTTTCACTCCCTCGCCCGTGCGCTCGCCGATTTGCAGCGGCTCGCGTGAAAGTTAATTGATGTGAACGCCGATTGGGGCTGATGCGAGAGAGAGAGAGCGAGAGAGAGAGACAGGGAAGGTGGTGGGGTGGGGGGGCGAGAGAGAAACACCGCCAGCTATTGCTTGACGCGACACGCGAGTGCGGCGAGACACGTGGACGAGGAGGAGGAGCGGCACCGGCAGGAGGGATGAGGATGACGAAGATGACCTCCTGCGCGTCGCGATTGATGCAGTTTAAAAGGACGTGGCGCCTCCTCGGCGCGCGCCCCAATTAACACGAAGAAAGCCACGTTGCTGCAGTTGTGTCTTGCGCTATTTCGTCCTCGTTAGCAATATCGCTACGCTCCTGGGGACCACAGTTCAAAAACACGGTCGCCTCGTGCCGGTATCTCCCCGCCCCCACCCCCCCCCCAACAAGTCGCGATGCGTGTCACCTTCCACGTCCAACATCAAAAACGTCCGTAACGCGTTAACAACGATTGCACGTTCATGCGTAAAGCACGGCACGGAGACCACCGGCCCCTCCTGTGCGCGCGACCGGCAGGCGAAGCGGCAAGCAGCTGCGGTCCGTGGCGATTGCGACCGCTGCCCACCACCCACCCCGTCTCCCCTCCCTGCGCCACCCCGCCAACCCAGACCCCGCCACTGCCTGCCTCGATGGTCCCGTGAGACGCACGCACGGGGACACTGGGGGTGGCGCGGGGAGGAGGGTCCGGTAATAGCCGCCGCCGACGCAGACGCCGACTCTGATATTCGTGTTTTTGTATTGCGCGTTGTTGCTGTTGTAACGTTCTGACCCGACCCGCTTGGACATCTGTGATGAAGCGCTTTATAGCTCCTCGGATTCATCGAGTATGAATAAATGAGATTCTGATTCTGCGTGATGCTTCTCGCCGTCTAAGCTCCTCCCGAGTCACGACTAACACCGAGCGAGAGGCTCTTCGTGGCCACGGGCTGCTCTCGTCCGGCACATCATAGCCTGCCCCCCCCCCCCAATCGGTGTTAAGCTACAAGCACCGTTGGGTTTAGGTTAAGGCGCAGGCCCTGCAATGTCTTGCTCACGCCGCTGCCTTCTGTGGGTGTTGTAAGGATGCGTCACTTGGTCGATTCATATTGGGGGGGGGGGGGGGGGGGAAGATCACGTAAATATAAATGTGTCGTTCAACCCGCCACCACCCGACACAGCCAATTAGTAAGGTTTGTCACGTAAACAAAACATGCCCATTAGTGATTGCTTCGGCACACCGGTGTGTTTCACAACTTGAGTACGACGTTTGGTTGGTGATTACAACCAGCTTCATCAGGCTATTTGCCATAATTTATGTCCGATTGTTAAGTTCAGGCATATGCGCATCGAAGCGTACGTGTTAAGAGTTCAGATTTTGACTCGCATATGTGGTGCGTGTAATTGGTTCAAGTGACCTCCAGCCACGAGAGGCCGCTACGTTCACCACAAGGTTAGAAAAAGAAAAAAAAGAAAATCCCATGCGGTTATTGAGCCGAATCGTGACCGTGAATTGCGAGGTTGTGCGAAATTTTTGCTGCACGCATGCTACATGTACTTACTGCTGCTCAATTCACAGGGAAGGACTCGCGATTTGAGGCAATTAAAACAATCGTCAACGGTGTTTCATAATTTCTTTCCATAAAATATACCTACACATCTTTAAAAAACACGATGTCTTGTCCCAGTGGAACTATATATAACATCGTCATTAAGTTTATCGTTGCAGGTATACATGTAGAGTTGAATAAACTACTGTAAATAATAAATGCCATTTGTTCAGGTACAGTACTTAAATTAGTCCGAGTCGACATTCGTAACATGGTAAAATAAAATGCACTTTGCAAATGAAAACTGGATTAAAATGGGTTAAATAAAACTGAAAAACATATCATTAATATTACATACACAGGATATACAGTGCAGTGCTGCATACCTGGTGCAGTGGTTCGTGTGCTGTGCTATGAAACTGGCAAGGGTAGCTCCTGCACGTCCCCCCCACCCCCTTCATCAACCTGCACTGACCAGCATAGTGAAGTATGGTCCAATAAACCCACGACGTGTGGAGGACTTCATCCTACCATCCTGAAAGTGGCATGACTAAGGGCTGTAATATATTAAATGAATGTTAAGAGTTCTTAAACAGTGGGAATTAAGCAAGATAAATAGAAATACATTACATGGGTGCTTGCATTTTTTTAAATCTAAAAACATCATTGGTAGTGACTCCAATAGCATATTGAAACCTCAATGCGGTGTAGGTGCAAGGTACGAGTGGCACCACAATAGAAATAAAATTTGCCATATTTTGTATGAACATTTGGAACATGACACATACATCCATAACAGCATTGAAATTACAATGGTTCATCTATGGGCTTAGCAAATTAATTAACTGTTGTAGCAAGTCTGTAGATCAGGCTTTGTAAACACATTTAGGACAGTTGCTGCAATTGTGGTGGGGCGATGTGAGATGAGAACAAGAACTGGATGGCTGAAATGGCAAGAGATGACTGGTGTGGTGGGTGATAAGAGGGTCCCAGTTTGGTTGAAGGGAAAAGACGGTGGTGAGACCGGTGCTGTTGTATGGTGCCGAGTGCTGGGGCATAAGAAAGAAGGAGGACCAAGCTATGGCAGTCACAGAGACAATGAATGTTGCGGTGGATGTTGAGTTTAACAAGGAAGGACAGGGTGAAAAATGAAAAATGAGAGGAAGACTCAAGGTGGTTGAAATCACAAATAAGAGAGAGAAAATGCTCTGGTGTGGTTCGGTCATGTGGAGAGACAACAGGGAAATGATGTGGGTCAGAAGGTGCAAGTGATGCAAGTAGAAGTAAAGAGATGAAGAGGAAGGCAGAAGTAGAGGTGGAGGGCGATGTGGTGCGATCGGACTTGGTGGCCCGAGGAGCGGAAAGAGAGTTGGCGCAGGACAGGGCAGTGTGGAGAAGGTTGGCAAGGACAGTGAAACCCCACGTGAGTGGGACAAACGTGTGGAAGAAGAGCTTATTGTGAGTGGCCATGAACATATTAAATTCGTAATGTATTAGGAAGGCAATTTCATCATTAGGTTTTGACTGAAATGTTGTACTATATGCATGTTAAAATGTAAATTTGGATGAGAAAACTGCTGTCGCCAAATTCCCGTCATTTATATAAAACGAATGCTTTCAGTGACAGAGCCAGATTAAGTGTACAATGTCATTACACAGGCGATACATTTTGAAGAAAGGATAGCAAGTGTAAAGTGAACATTAAGTTGAACTTTATTTTAATAGCTTTATTTTCTGAATATTATTAAAGTGTAATTGCAACAACATTTGTAGGACTTTAGCAACCATTTTCAATATAGTTCAAAATACAAGTATCAATGAAATATAATTAAACCGATATTCAACTTAATGAAAACAATTAACCAAAACTTTGAACATTGGAAAACACCCTTTACATTAAATAATAACATAATCTCACATTGTGCATTGCTTCTTGCATTTTAGGTAATTTTGCAAACCAACAATCGAATAATCTGCTATTTCAAATCCCATGACCAACTTATCGAATAAACACGTAATTCCGGTAAGCAAAATAATCAATTTGGCCTCGTAAGTATATTTTGCCATAGCCTGTAATTTAACATTCATGGAATATAACGTCAAATGTTTTACAACTTTAAAAGGCTTGTGTGTTCATAATATTTTTTAACTATATATTATTGGGTCTTTCGATGAAGTCACGTAGATAGGTTCAAAGAAAATTATTAAAAATAACAGAAAATTGCGACGTTTCGATTGGAATGCAAGCAGTCGTCTTCAGGAAAATGGGGGTTATCTTGTGTCGTCTGAATGGATATTCAGACGACACAGTAGTCTGAATATCCATTCAGACTACTGTGTCGTCTGAATGGATATTCAGACGACACAATCCGTAAAGCTACCACCCCAACCGTTGGGAAAGATCCATCTGAGGACCCAATGAAAACCATCACCTTGCCATAAATAGCAGGGGTCACCAAAAATATTTCCAAAATCATGAGCAAACACAAGATTCAGGTCCGATTTAACACAGTACATACAATTCGTGATCTGATCCCATCTGTGAAGGATGTGATCCCTGACATGCAATACCCCAGCGTCTACAAACTAAGCTGTGTCTGCGGCAGTAGTTACATTGGGGAAACTAAGTGACATGTCTCGAACCGTGTTCGTGAACAAAAGGCATTTCTGAAACACGGTAGGACCAATACCTCGGCCGTGGCTGATCATTGTTTTAAAGCGGTGGGCTCACACGAAATTAATTTCTCCAAGACGAAGCTACTTTGCAAGCCCACTGGCTATCAACAAAGATTCGTTCATGAGGCCATCCATATTTATAGACACAGACACAATTTCAACCGAGAAGATGGGTACAAATTGAGCAATCATTGGAAGGACGTGATTAACCAGTTGAAGTCATAATTGGCTATGCTGTTCCCATCCTACCACCTTCCGATGTTAGTTGTGCTCTACGCCCATTTCAAACTTGCGCTTTCACAGGATTCACACTGACACAGCCACTTCGCGCGCCGACCCCTGGGTTGCGTCTCTGCGATCTCCCATGAACATGCTAATCTCTCTTTAACATGCTCATTTTCAACTGGCAACCCTTTGATTGGTGGAAAACGAACCACCGTCGGGTTGGTTGCCCACCACTTACATTATCATTGGCTGCTTACATTTGGGCTAGGCCCATTTCAAACCCTTATAAACAGTTTCCCTTGGAAGCTAACTCCCCTTTTACTGAATACGACCTTGCTTGCGTTGCGATCGAAACGTCGTAGTTTTCTGTTATTTTTTTTTTTATTTTCTTTGAACATATCTACGTGACTTTACCGAAAGACCAAAGAATATGAAATTTTGCAGTCACGAAAGCTTTAAGTCAAGTTATATAAACGAGTTATATTCTGGAGTTTAATATATTAATTATTGCTAACATTGGGGAGGTCAGAGTGTACAGTGATTAGCATAATGCACTGTGAACCTGGCTAACGGAGTTCGATTCTCATTCAACGCTAATATCAGTGACCAGGTTATATCTGGATTGGCTTTGCCTCTCACGACTCCAACGTTTCAAACTTGACAGTGATGAACTATGGCCAAACAAACCCACTTAACCAAAACGGCTTGCAGTGGCTCTACAAAGGACTGTAAATGAACGTTCAGTATCTGTTATTATTCCGAAAGCAGTCACTTTCCTACATGCTAAATTTATAGTACACATTAACTAGCAGAATATCACCCCTAAATGGGGAACAATCAGATACAATGGAAACCAGATAATCAACCTTTTTACAATGAAATAACATTTCTCAAAGTTCAGTCATATTTCTG